AATCTGGCTAGTTTTAAGCTTATAAAATGACAGTATGCATTGCATATTTGCATCATTGCCTTGAATTCATAAATGAGAGTATACCCAATTTTTTTACGAAATCACCATGGGCGGTCAATGGTACAATTTTTGTCGTCTTGATGCCGAAAAATAACATTACCGATCCTATGTACAATCATTTGAGGGTGCCTTTCCGATATATTTTAAACAGTGCTTTAAATTCGAGACAGGCCTCGATTTTTCACCCTTTGAGGGACACGTCGAAAATATAGTTCCGATTTGACACACACAGAAATTCTCACAAGTCATTTATCCATACTGCATTTTAACAATAAAATTGTCCATTGTAAATACGGTACAATAATATTATATTATTATATTTAATTAGAGCTGCCTCCTTTGATAAATGACCCGATAAGCAAAAACAAAAAAGGCATCACTAAAATACCTGCGTATAGTCCGTATATACAAGACACCTTGTCACTCTTATACACTACCTATGACTTCCTAAACGAGTAAAAGTTAGAAAATAAAATGCAAGATATAGCTTATGTAGGTATGGTACTAATTTTACAACGATGCGGAAAATAATACATTAGAGTCTATACTCTATACCCATAGCCTGTAGTTTCATAACATGTGGGACCGTAGAAATTCAATTAACCGTCTCTGTTTTAACCATCACTGTCTATTATCCGTCATCGTCAAAAAAAAATCGTCTTTTTACTCATGTAAAATACGGAACATTGCCTCTCAAAAAGCTCGGCCTCGCAGAAACAAAACGTCGCCGAAATTCAGGCTCCAGAAACGATCATAATATTAATTTTGCCTCTTGTTTAGCGTGGTTTCTAAAAGTATAGACAGCGGTGGTTAACGTTAATATTATTGTCGGCTGCTGACCGAGCGCGAAAGAAGAGGAGTGGGGCACACCTGTTGTCTCGCGAGAGTAGTGGACGACCACAATAAATTATTATCATTATTAGCTAGTAATTAATTTACACAATAGTCATTTTTCATTTAATTACTGTTACCTATAGCTTATTTACAAATATCGTTGTCAAATCACTGTAGCGCTATGTACGTCTATTATCATGTAGAATATTATGATTATTAATGTTAATAACCCGAAAGCAATAAAAATCAAATATAATAATATTAAAGGCAAAAATCGAACAGTTTTTATAAAAAAAAATTATTTAATGTTACTCTCAGTATATTTTTTTAGAAATCCACACCTCAACTATTATTGTTTTAATATAGTGCACATGAATGTTCTACATTATGTAATATTTATATAGTATTGCAATGAATTACAATACAATGTTTTTTTAATGTAAATTAAATTAAATTACGACGTCGACATTTCAATTTCTTCTTTTGCGCAACAGTATATAGATATGTAGGCTTCATAATGTGCGTAGGCACACATACATAAATAAATTAACAATTATTACAACTTTGAAAACATAACTGAATTAAATAAAAACGAAACAACAAAAACAATAACACGACATGTGTGTTTCTCTAAACGTAGGTATATAGGTACCTTTAATAATAATATGCTAATTCCTAATGCCTAATGGTAGACGTTAATGGTCTTTTTTGATAAATTTAAGTTACTTTTAGTAAGTACATTTTAAACAGACATTTTTAATTCTGAATCAGTTTCCATTCTACTGCACGTCTAAATATTATAAAGGTTATGTTTATTTCATTCACCACGAATAATTCCAATACAATTAATTACAGCCGAATTTATTATTCAAAATGCAATTTAGAAATTGAAATGGAAAAACAAATTCAACAAAATACACTAATGGCCACGTGCTATAGACAAATTATTATTATTTATTAATACGACTTCATACTTCCCGGCTATCTCGGACACGTTTATTTTTTTTTTTTTTTTAATAATATAAATTATATTATAGGTAATACCTACCGCGGGCCACCATTAGACTGCATTTGTATGAGTATGCACATTATAATTTATAGTGTGTACTTTATGTAAAGAATTATTTTAAGTTCAACTGTTTAGACTCGAACGTGAACAAGTACCTATTACACGATTAGTAATCACACAAATTAATTTATTTATGCAGAGAAGTTCGTCGTTATACTCTCATTTGATCGATCACTAATCTCATTTGCGACGCCTTCCGTATACATTATACATACTCTACTGTATTCTACAAAAAAATAATTATAAAAATAATACTCAATAAATTGAACAAATAATAGATAATTTAAAAGCACGAATAAATAAATAAATGGACGATCAGATGAACGATTTCCAATATTAAATGATAACTATTTGTAAAAAAAATATATGTACCAGTACATCGAGTATTATTTATGTACCTATTAATCACTATGTATCGAGGTCGATTATCGTCATCTGTTACCGCAATATTATTGCTGTATGGATCTATATGAGGAGCTTATTATAACATTGCTTTTATAAAAAGCGGACACGTCGTTCCGTTGTATAGAGTAAATACGTGTTGAATGCTCCTTGTAATTGAGTAGTTCACTGTGATGGATGTGTTAAATTTACAATCCAATGATAATTCATTGGACACGAAAAACGGTTTTGTTTCTGCCCAGAATATATCTATCAGACAGTATTTCCAAGGATGTTGTATCATACCTATATTGCTAAGAATAATTTATAAACCTCTTTGTAGTATGGTATTGTGGACAAAATAAGTAGGTATGTGGGTCATTATTTAATATAGGTACAAAGGTCTTCATAAGCTGTTCTTATATACAAACTTAAAATCCTAAAAATAAATATACACAATTTCTTTTTACAGAATTATCAAGCTCAACTTTAATTTTGACAAATTTGGATACCTATGCAAACAAAAAAATAACGTTTTGTTATTACATATAATTTTAAAAATATATTATTTGTAGGAACTTGAAACTTTTTACCACTATACTATGCATATATAATTATTAATTATGTAATATACACTGTAATTGTTTTTAAATATTTAGATTAGGTAATGCTATATTTTATATTATACGAACTTATCCACAATGTAGGTATTACGGTTAGTGTCTCGTGGTATAACGTAGTATAACCAGCTTAAAATAATTCTAAATATTTTGATGATGTTAATAAAATAATAGCATACGCATGTTGTATATAGTGTCAGAAAGTTTCGTGTCCTTACAAATAGCATTATTTTTTTAATTAAGTACAAAAAAATTACTAAAATCATCTGTTTATGTTGAAATTTAAAATATCCAATTTTATGAAAGTTAAAACTTGTAATGCATATTAAAAAAAAATGTACTTAGGTCTGTATTTTTAAGATTTTTAGGGCGCTTTAAGAACAGCTTATGAGAAACCTTGTATTCGATTGTCAAGTCTTATCTATTCAAATTAAAAATATAATGTATATTTTCATCTACAAAATAATTTCTAAATTTTGTTGATTTTAACGAATTTGGTCAAAAAATTGTGACCTTAGATTTTCAATATTATTAAATTTCAATCAGTACAACTCTTAAAAATTGTTTAAGATAGAGTAACTGTAAACAAGATTTTTTTGTTTTTAATATAATGTAATATACCTTATGCCCTACATTGATGATATTTTAGGAAAATTCGAGAAAATTGAAGAGAACAATAATATTGACTGTGATAAGTTGAGATAATTTAATTTAATTAATTTCGGTTAAAAGTTGAAAGGTATTTAACTCGATAAGTTTAAGGTTATAAGATGAAAAATACAATCAACTTAACTCAGTTTAAAAAAAGTAATTTTTTCAAGCTATAATATTTAATTAACTTACTATGTATCTATAATGCCTATTTTGATTCACACAAACATTAACCAAGACGTCTAACACCCTGAAAACATTTAATATGTATGATATATTATTAGAAGATAATTGACCGAAATCGAAAAAAAATTAACTAATTAGTAGTATTGTCTGTTGGTTCAGCGTGATACCAAAAAAAATAGCACTTAATTACACAATACTATAAAAAGTTAAGTTACAAAAATCAAAAATTTAAATGATTAAGTTAATGGTCGGTAAGAACGTGTAAATCCACGGGTATTTAATTTGTCACTGAAACGCAATGCAGTATCAAAAAGTATATACTAATATGAAAATAGTAAGGGTTATATATAACTGTAGGCATTATAGGTATAATTTCATAATACACTAGCTGATCCTAAGCTGGCTTAAAAATGCCAACTCATCTATGAGACTCGTTTGTGATAATGTGAGCAGTATATTATCAGGTAGGCAATCCACCTGCGGTGGATGATGGACCCCGCTAGGTGCATATACTCTGTAATCTGTACGGATAATATTATGTATTATTTATTTTTTTTTTTTTTTATGGTTTTGGACACGCCGATGAACGGTTATAAGTGCAACTCAGTCACCTTGGTAGACAATGTGCGAAAATTTGATTTAATGCATGATTAAACCTGATCTGCCCTGATCTCGCGAGTTCTGCGACTTAAGTTTGTTTAAAATATTAAGAGTGATTGCTTTGAAGTTTGAACTTACTGTGATGAACAAACTTTTATCAAAAAACTCACTGTACATTTTTTTTTCACAAATTTGCCAATTGAATCGACTGTGAACTAAGAAATGATAAATTAACTATATTTTATATCATGGATATTATATGTTTGATCTGGCTTGACCTAGGGAAATAGGGATTCACTTTTATATAATAGATATAGATAGATTGTAGAATTTTACTTCTCGGAACCATTCGTATCTACACGCCGATCAAACCCATAAAAAAAAATTCCGATCACAATTGAACCGATGGTTATCGAGTTTACTTTACACACTTACAGCTTAACACATTAGTATAGATTAGTATAAAAACCATCACAATTCAAACAAAACCTTAGAACTCTTAAAAAAAAAAATTCACCAGCTATTATAATGATAATAATAATAATAACTATATACAATAGCTGCAAATCTAATACAATACTGCTATCTCTTTTTTTCAGAACGAGTGGTCCAGACACTGTCGGTTGCCGATGTTCAACCCGGAACTGCAACCGGAACCGGTGAACTTGCAGAACAACAACCACCACCACCGTCGGCCGGAACCGGGCCGGGCGCTGGAGCTCGCGGGGAGGCTGCAGCAGGAGCGCGCGGCGCACAACCATCCGGCGCCTGCGAACCCGCCTGCACATGACGACCGGGAACAGACCAGACACCACGCCTAGCCGATACGAGCACAGTTGTAGTTTTCGACTTTATAATATTATTATTATTATTATTATAAGTTCCACCCTGCGACGACGGGCCCGTTTATATAATATAGATACAGTACGAAACGTTTACGACAGCAATAATAATCATCATCATCGATGTGGCGGTGGTAACAAAAAACAATAGGTATTTAATCTTGTGGTGTTTGTGGATTTGTGTAAAAAAAGCAATCGTCTGATTTTTCAAAATGTATGTAAAAAATCAAAAAAATCTATGTGGATAATAATATTGCTATCAAACAGTAATTGTATTAACCCATCATCATTATCGCTGTTGATCGCGAGCTTATGCGGTCAGAGACTTAAATATTGTCGTACCTATAAATTATTGAACCACCATCTCCACCCCTTTCCCGACATTGATATTGCTGTATTATACACACTGCTGCCGCAAGCACGCCGTACATAAAGTTAGATTTAATAATAATAACAATAATAATAGTTTAATAATATATAAGAGTGCGAAAAACTTATCCCAACCCCGTAGGATTAAACGCGTCGAGTCGAGCGGACGCGTGTTGTATTGTACCTAATATTGTCTAAAATAAAAATAATAAACACTGTTTATAGGGGAAACAATCGAACAAATAACGCGCGATAATACAAAAAGCGGTTTCGGAGTTCACGTTTTGGTCGTTACCGACACATACAAAATGTACGATTTAAAAAGGTACCTACCACTTATATTGCCGATTATGTATTATATTATATTCTCTTATCGTGTCCCGTATTTGCAGAGGTGACTTGTTTATATTGCACTACCGAAAATGCCCCTTTTATCCAATAATTATTCTAAATTAGAATTTCTAAATTGTGTTGCTGAATACCGCGGTAGACACACAATAAGTATAAACATTTCACTCGAAACGTGCCTACCCGTATTCGGTAGGTATCCGTGCATGCTTTAACTGCTCTCGCGACTTACAATAATAATATCACACGTCTAATGTAAAAATAGTTTAATATTGTTTGCCACCTTTAGATTAATATATTAAATACGATCGCCTGTATGTTATTAATAATTATTATATTGCAACGGTCGACACGACCGGTGAAACTCGAGGGGGAGTGTAAAATCAATGTGAATTTTGTTTGTCATGTGTCATGTTTATTATTATATATTATTATTTTGTTATACCTACTTATTATTTTAAGTTTAAAAACGATTTTTTTCGCAATGTTATTATATTTTTATTATTATTATTTTTTTTTTTTTATCGACTAATTGTATGAAAAAAATTATTTACGATTTTTTTACTAGTTAAAATATCTTTTTTTTGTTATTAGTTTTTAATTATATATTAGGTAATACTTATTCATAGCATTTTTAACATCTACTAAAAATTGACCAAGGTTTTAACTATTATAATCGTATATCTTTGTCTCTATAATTATTACTGTTACCACTACTGTTAATCTATTTCTAAGGATACCCTGGGTAAAACTGTTGTTGTACAACTAGTGTTGAATAGATAAACCATCTAAATTGAACAAATAAAACTAGGCAAAATTATCTCCCATCATAGAATTTTCATAAACCTAATAAATGTGGGTAACACAGGCCACATACAAAGAAAAAACAATTCAAAGCGTTTATATAATTGTGTATCATAATAATCATCATAAATTAAATGTTAAAATATATAAGTATAAAAGTTTTAGTAAAACAATTCATGACCCCCCCCCCCCTCTCCAGTATAATATGTGCCTGGGCTGACATCACATACAATTAAGTAATGGTTTTTATACCACTTTTTTGAAAACATACTTCGATGTGTGCTTATACATATTTATAAATACTTATTATAATACAAAGGTTCTTCATTCCATTCAACTTCTTGACTTACGATTATTATTACTACAATATTATTATTGTAAATTTGTAACTATTATTAATATTAAATTAGTTTAGACATTTTGAGTGACATATTATTCGACTTTGCATTATTAAAATATAATAATATTATAGGTATTATTATTATTACTTAAATACTTATATTGATTAAAATATAATATAACTAAGCTTTTTTTTGTCAATATTTTTATGTACCAATAACGAGTCATTTGGTTTAAAATAAATCATAAAAGTTTATCTACCTATTAATAATAATCACATACCTACATTTTTAATAAAACAAACATTGTTACACAAATAATGTATAGATTTAAGTGTATTATTTAAAATATTATGATTATGATAAAATGAATCAATAATACAGTATATTATATATTAATACATAATCTAAATCTTGTGTGTTAAAAATAGCTGTTGTTATATTTGTTTTTAAATATAACAAAATATATAAAATAAAATCGTTAGTCATTTCAGTTTATTAATTATCCATTCGACGAATGTCCTCAATATTTGTAAAAAAAAAAATGTTAAATTCACACGTGGGATGAGTTGTGTGTTTTTAATATACTACTTGAATTATTATAGGTTTTGTACAACTGTAGTTATTTTGTAAAGCAAATCCTGCCCGTCAGTTAACCTGCTATATTGTATTTATAATTTTAAAAACAATATAATATGTCATAACACGAACAACCGTATTCCAAGAAGGACGCAAATTATATTGGCTAAGCCTGCACGCCCTTCGCCAACAGGAATTCCGGTCAATATAACTTAAAGTCCCTAGTGTTATTTATACACCGAATCATCATCACCGCAATATAATATATTATATAGGTCTTTGAGGGGAATTATATTATTTACTTTGATATTATTACCATATTATATGCGATGAGCACGAGGTCGCAAAACAAAACCATACGTACATGTATCTACAATAAATGTACATAATATATTTTATATTTTATATTTTATTTACAGGATTTAATATGACCTACAATTTAGTTTCAATTGAGTCGTAATTGCACTAATACTAGCTCGTCCTGCATTATGTGCTATTCGATCGTTATAAGACGTAAGTTTGATACGGCTTACTTATTATTAAAAACGGATTGTCGTTTATTAAATCGTACCTATACACGGCCTGCTATTTAAAGTTAATTTCTCGAATGTTACCTCAAACAATTTCTACTGCTAAAAATACGAGTGTATACGTCATATTATACATTTTATAGGAGCTTGCATAAATTATTACAACTTTCACCAGTGTTGATCCAGGTACCGTCTGTAAGTGAAATACTGAGTAGAGGCGATGGTGGCAAGAGCGGACATGATTTTCTATAACCATATCTATATAATATTATATTTAGTATGAATTGTTTGCAAAGTAAATGGTGGATAGATAATGGTCAATAAATTGTACAACAATGCTTAACTACATAGTGTGTTCGTTACAGTTTTATTATTATATTTACAAATCGATCTACAGTGATGATAAAAAAAAATATAACTAAATAATCATTTTATTGTACCCTCGTGATGATTTTAAGTGAAACCTTCAATGCGCTTATTTATTTAGAAAACCATAATAGTAGAGGCTTATAATTTTAACGATCAAAAGTAAAATATTATTTCAGACGTCTATCACACGATTGAGCATAAAGCATCTTTTTTACGATATGATTAAACAAATTCGTCAGTGAATCAAAAAATATAGAAATACAAAAGAAAACCTTCTCTGTTGAGCTTAAACTTTCTGAGCTTTTGCCATTTTCCATGTTAATAACAATTCTGAAATATATTAAACAAAAAATATTAACTAAAACAAATATAATAATACAAGCAGTACCTGAAGTATTAATTTAAAAAATACATTATGTAATTTAATATATAGTTATTATATAGTATAGTTATTGTATAGTTTATTATATAGTTTAATTTCATAATTTAATGAATCTGTCATATTGACATGTTAAAAATAATAATAAATAATCATGATAAATTGATACATTACCTATGGTCTATCTTTAAGATACTTTAATAGGTGATTGAACACTCATGACTTTAGCAGTTTAGCTTGAATTGTTCTACAATAATTGAGAATGTTTGACCAGTGTCAAATGCTTAAATGAGTTCGTCTCGTGTATAACGGTCAGTGACAAGTGACAACTAACATTGTCTACAATCTACATAGAAACCTTGAAATAAATAAATCGCAGGAAACAGCATTATCTGAAAAATATTTTATTCGAATTTAAAGAAGTTAAGGAGAAACAATATTTCTAAAGAATGGTATAATTTAGGAATGATACTATACAACAACATAATTATTAATTTTGTTGGAATGATATGTACCTACAGGAACCTTAAAAACTATAGAACGATGTAAATCAGTTAAATAATTTTCCAGAATACCTAAATTATCAGTTAAGAACAAAACTATTGTGAACAAATTAGGATAATACTATACTCAGGACTGCAAAAATCTTGGCCGATTTTAAATAAAATTTTATTTTACAGGATGGGTATTGCTCTGGACAATTTCACACAGGTCTGTATTTTTATGGTAATACATATAGGAATCATTTACAACGTTAAATAATATTGTCCCCGAGAGTATCAATCCCGTTAAGGGGAATGGAAGCTTTGATTTTCGGTCTCTGTTTAACATACGTGCGCATAGGAACTAAGACGTGTTTCTATTCTAAGGTACCGATTGATCTAGCGAGGCGATAAGAGTTCTAAAGACAGACTTAAATTGTTCATCTTGTCTATTTTTGTGTGACATCGGCAACGCTGCCGAAAGCCAGGAACTGCTCAATCACCAAGTCGACAAATATCTACTTAATATCGATTTTCCCACTTTTTGTTTTTAATTTTTATCTCCCTATATCCTAAGCAAATAAGTATTTAAATTAGTATTAGTATTTTTTTAATTAGTATTATTTTTTTTTTAATTTTTTTTTATTTATTAGCATATTAGTAAAAGTAAATGGAATATTTACATTTTTGAAGTAGTTAAAATCAAAAAATTGAAAACCTGGAAAATTCGATCTCAATTCGAATTGTTTTTAGAATTTATATCTCTTCACTAGATCAATCGGTTAGTTAGAATGAAAATCTGTCTAAATTAATATGTTTCAAGTGTGTTAGACAAAGACAGAAAATCATCGCTTCCAACACCCCCGTAATTAATGTTCCTATTTTATATCGGCCCCGAATTTTAGGTGCCTGAGTGATAATGTTCTAACTTGTACTATTCCTTAAAGGTATATGATTTCTAACATTTATTTTAGGTACTTTATATCACCCAACTTTGTACAATTCCAATAAATATCAGTAGATACAAGAAGATTCTATTCCTGTATAACACCATTTCTAAATTATAATACATCATTGTGAGGAAAATAACATTCTGTACATGAAATAATCACAAATAATATTTTAACATATTATGTTGTTATTGCATACTAAACCATTTTTATGTCTTTTTCAGTAAATGTCGAGTGTCAAACAACATTAATCATATAATATTTCAAGTTGAAAACAAATGCACATTTCAAACGAATAATATCTAATGTTGCCTCGAGATTATTAAATATTAGTTTAATTTAGTCGATCGTAAAAGTATAATATAGCATAGGTAATAAACTTTACACATTCCCTGACATCAGAAACCGTAGCAATACCAAACATTTCATAACAGTTTTCGATGTTTTGGTTTACTGCCAAAGACGTCAAAAGATGATATTGTTGTAGGCTTTTCGCCAAATATGTTTTATTTCACTGGTCATCAAATAACATTATTGTTGATCGTAAAGTTTATCAAACAAACTAAATACTAATTAAATGCGTTTTGCATTTTAAAAACTCATAAATAATTTTTACAACGTATCTTACAACATACCTAACTACTACTTATTACATAATATGTACTGACGTATTTCTATCGATTATATTATTTTATTAAATACTATTAGCGTAGCTTTGATCTAGGGCAAATGGACGTAGCCGTTTAGACTTGGGGACAATTGGACATAAAAAAAAAATATGATCAAAATTATAAATCTGTAAATAAAATGTATTAGTTATTTATATTTATTATAATATTTATTCGTCAAACAAATACGAATACAAAATATTTATTATAAAAAATATTAAAATTAAAAATGTATCTAAAACAATATTTTATTACAATTATATGTATACCAGAAATTAAAATACAATATCAAAAAAATGTATTTATACCAATTATTATAACACGTCCAAAATATAATATA